TGGTGAGGTATTTTGAACTAATCAGATTGAGAACTCTTTCCTGGATTAAAATTAAAACAGGGATGGATTTGATAGAGAAATTATGGTATAACAGTCCAAGGGAGGCGCTTAAGTCACTTAATTGAGTTTTTGAATGTTCTTTTAATCTGTATATATTTTTTTTGAACAAATTCGTAAAAAATTGAATTCAAACTATTGCCTTGAAGAAAGAAAATATACTTATTTGTGACCTGATGTCATTAAACTGAAAGTCCTAGTGCTTAATCTGTACATCTTTTGTGATATAGGTGACACGAAGTTTTAAGAAGAATTAATACATCTTATATATATATATATATATATTATAAGGTTAATTATTTTTTAAAATAGAGTTACAAGTTTGGAGTGAGATATTTAAACTCTAATTTTTAAGTTGGAGAAATATACCTTATAAATTGATCTATAACTATTAGACCGTAAAGTTTAAGTGATATAAGTTAATTATTTAACATCACATATGGTTGAACTTTTGATATTAATTTTAAATTAATATTTTTATTAAATTAATATGGATACTAACTCAACAAAACTTTTACTAATATTAAGTTCTATATTTATTGTTTTGTAAAGTGATATTTTTATTCACTTTGTAATGGACATAAATATTTCTTATACTTTAATTAATAATATTTTTTTTCTTGTTGATAAAGAAATAAAAAAGGAAAAAATTAGTCTTAACGGAAACTTGAACTTAATCTTTGGTTAGCGTAGGAGTTGAATTCACATGTTTAGACTCATTTCGTCGACAAGTTTGATTTATATTTGTATACAGCTAGCGTAAAAGAAAGCATTGGTTGAAGAATCTTTATATCATACTTCACACGATCAAATTATCATTTTTTAGTTCGCACGACACAAAAAATATAGTTTAAATTGAAAAAATAAACATTTTAAAATAATATATTAACATTTCGATGCACATATTTTTGTTATTAACAAAAATAATTTCATTAAATAAGAGCAAGAGTCGTGTTCCAACCTCCTCTCAACCTTAGAAAACATCAGAAGTTGAGATTTCTACATTGCTTCTCAACATCTTTGAGGTCCACGCAGCAGAAATACATCCTTTGAGGACAGTTTCTTTCAAAAAGGCAACTTTGTTTAAGAGAAAAAGTGGGGAGGAATTATCTTTAAACAATTTAAAAATTGAGACCAACTAAATCCTAAAAAAATACCCAAATAAAGCAGGCCCAATATAATTTAGTTTACTTTTGTTTTTAGCACAATTTAATGGGGGCTCCAAATTAAACGCAGACCCAAAAATAAGAAGGCAGAAGGAAAAGGTAATGAACCATTGTCAACTGAAAAGCACAAGCATGGCTGCACCGGAAAGTTATGTAATCACACAGCTGAGAGTGATCAAGGCTGGAGCTAAAAAGGGCGAATGAACATTCCTTTGACAATTTCAGAGCCAGTGGTCTCTATATCTCACCAGGAGTTTTGTTTGTGACTAAAGCATAACAAACAGCAGCACTGCAGCAATGTCAACATTTTTTTCCTATCATTAATGGAACAATGGAAGAAAGACCAGAGATAATTAGAGAGGGCATGGTATAGAAATTTGTAATGCTCCGACTAGGCAACCAAAAGCTCTGACGAGAACAGATATCCGTAAAACCGTCATTCCATTAAAGTATATTTTTCTACAATGGTACAAAAAGAATGATGACAACAAAATGTTTTCTTCCTAATGAACAAATCCTTCCAATCTCTACACTTCTTTTCTTTCAATTACAACATGTGCCAAGACAGCACAAGTCAGAGAAGAAATGAAAATCAGTTCCAAGATTCCTTAGCAGTCTAAAGGAATGATTCACAACAACATCACTTCCTCAAATGACGCAAAAGATGAACCTACGTGAATTTGTAGTAACATTTGCCTCCAGAGAGAAGAATTTAATAGCCTTTGCCGCAGGGACACTTGAAATGAACCACCAAACATTCCCCTGTTTTCTCTATCCACACAACATCTGCAATTTCTTCTCCTTATTTCTCATCCTGCAAAACATTTATATTTTCCTTGTTACCACTTTCTTGGTAACCAAACAAGTAGTAGTAAGGATTATGAATAATGTGTCTGTCAAACAAGATCAAACCTTTGCTGGATTGTTGGCGACTCTCAGTTCCTCACTTTCCCGCATTTCATCCAGTCATCCATTCATCTCCTTCAGACAATCCTTCATCCTCTGCCAACCCTGCCATTGATCAACAATTTCAAGAAGCCTTGATCGAAACAGGAAATGCTAAAGAAAAGATTGCAAATTAGCAGTAAGCAGAAGAAAACCATTATTTGTCAAACCCCTAATCACACAAACAGCAAAAATCGAAATCAACACAATAGATCCATACCCAAGAATGGTGCAAGAAATGTTTAAAACCCTTACAGATACAGACCTGGGTATGGGGATTCTCCTCCTTGGTGATTTCTTTCAAGCTCGAAAGAGTTGGAAAAGGACTTATCCAGTGAGGGAGTAGGGTCCCCAATCAACCACCTCAGCTCTCCTGCGCCTCCCCTCAATCAGTTTTATTAATGTCAAAGTTGGGGGTGTCTCTCCAAACAAGACAGATTAGATTCATAGTGAGTCACTTTAGTACACCTTTGCTGATTAACTGCATCAATGCATGCATCCTTCCTCCTACAACATGTCACTGGCACAGATAAATTAATTTGGATCACCATCTCTAAAACAAAATAGTGAAATGGATTAGAGAATCCATCAATCTTGGGTAAGAAAATGTGGCGCTGACTGTTCCTTACTAGTTCTATGACTTACATCTGGTTTAGAGTTTTAAAGGTGTGGCAGAATGAATCAAAGTCTAGCTTCTATCTGATTCCCAAAGTCCATACTTAGAACTTTTCACATTGAATCAATAACTGAAAAGCCATTTTGTGATACAATAAGCATAATTCAAGAGTACTGAAATGCATACAATGCTTGGGAATTGTTGCCCATATTATGTAATGGTTAAAACCAATATGAAGCAAAGAATTAGTTGAATGGTATACCTCATTTGCCACTTTTTCTGGTTAAGGGACTATTTAAACCTGCTTCTGGGATGCAATTGAAAGCAACAGTGATTGAGAAATCCTGTTCAATGCACATAAGAAGTTACAGCAGCACAAGAGTTAAGGAAATCACACAACTAGAAACATTAAAATCCACAACGAAATAACCCAAAGTTTAAAGTTGCAATCACCTTTAGTAGGTAAACTGTAGCTTGCTTGCCAAAGCAAAGGGGATCCTAGTCAGCTCTTATTTGGTTTCAATATAACCACATCATGTATTGGTCAGCTTGTGAAAGGAATGGAAGTAGAGAGGAAGGAAAGATATTTGGTTAGTAGAGAAAAAATGCAACTGATTATAGCACAGTAAAGTCTTTAATATCCATGCAGTATATGGATAATGCAATAATTCTAGTATCAGAACCTTGTACTCCACTTTGAGTTAGTCTCTTTCCATGTGAAATATCAATCTCAGCTTCACCTTCATTCATTTTTCTGTCTTCTTCATCCTTCTTTTATTCTATTTCACATCTGAAGCAGATCTATCATGAACCTTATACAAATTGACAACCTTAACCCAGTAAGTCTTAATAAATTTTGATTACAGAATCAAAGTTTATTGCATTCATGCTTTTCAAGATATGACAACATATGTGAATCAAAGTTTGACTTGCATAAGATTCATAAAGCACTAAAACCATAAAAAATGTAAGAGCTCCCACCACTACTCATTGAAACTCAAGCATTGTTTTCCCCATCAACCCTGTCTACTTTGAAAACCAAATGCAAAACAAATTATAAGATAACTGAGTGATTCAATGTTCTATTTTGGTAGCAAACATGAGAAGAAAAAAAAAAAAGGAGTTTACGGTAACTAATATATGAAATCATGCTTATTTGAGTGAATAAATAAATAATTTTGCAGACAATTTTTTCCTTCAAAACCATGCATGTAATTCATACAATATACAACCGGAACATCAACACACTTCAAATTCAGAATAGTGGACCCCTCTTCTGAGCACTATCCAAATTTCTTAATGCACCTGAAGAGATAGAGGCAGATATCTCAGCTTCCTACACAACAAAAAACAAAATGTTGCAAATAAGCAGCATTGCAGAAAACATGTAGGCAGTGGTTTTAAATGCTTGTATGCTCCACGGATGATTAGGCGTGATTAAGTGCACCTAGGCATGGTTAGGCAAAATTAAGCATGCCTAGGCACAATTAGGCGCTAGGCTGATCAGGCATTTTGAAGTGAAACTATGTCGCCTATAAAAAGAATCACAAAAAATCCAGCAACAACATAGTAACCTGCTAGTAAATTTTATTACAATTACTCTATATTATACATGCATGTATTCTAATTCTTGAACTTAAACTGTTTTCTTCTCTCTCTCTCTTTTTTTACATCATTCTTCTGACTTTTTATTTTTTTAAAGAAATCCACTTTTTCTTATTTTTTGAAATTTTATTAAAAAAAGAAAAATGCTAGCCTCACCATTGCGTCATTTTGCAGTTCATTACTAAGCAATCACCTGGAAATCATTACACTTTAAACAATAATCAACCAATATGTGCGTTTTCATTCATGAAAATTCTTCAACTTTTTGGTACCTAATGATTGGGAAGACGATTTACAGAGACACCCATTTCTGAATTGGCGATAAATATTAATGAAAACCTAGACCCAATAGCAACCGAAACTGAGATAGAGTTCGAAAAATCGAAATAGAGAATTTAGAAGTGGAGAAAAAAAAACCTTCTCCAAATCGATTAAAGGAGTCATATTGGAGATGAACTGTTGCAAAGTCACAGCAGTCGATTTCTTCTTCGTCTTGTCTCCCACCATAGCCATTACTGCTTCGCTTCTGTTGCTGCTTTTTAGAGAGGGAATAAGAGAACTTCCCTCTTGTAAGAGGTTTACTAAAATGCATAAATTATTACTCTAGTCCTCAACTTTTGACCTTGGCTTGTAAAGTTTCCCTCAATTTTTAAAACCAATCCACCTTCACCTTGACAAGTTTTTGATTACTTTACAGTATTTTGTTTGGTCTGAAAGACACTAGAGGAGAGGAAGAAAATTAACTTTAATCAATCAAATTATTCCTTGGCTAGTCTAACAGCTTAATTTCATTGATTGAAAGAAAATCACCTCCTTTCCCAGTTTCCCTTTCTTTCACCTTTCCTTCAAACAAAACAGAGTACTAATGGTGTTTCAATAGTCAACTTTTATAATTCAATCAAATAATAGTCACTCTTTTAACTAACTTCTCCTGATATCTACTTCAATTACGAACCTTATTTCTTATGATGCTCAAAAGTTTACCTAAATCTATAACTTTTGATATACTAAAATCTAAACAACTTGCAATTTCTGTTGTATATCAACATTCAATGTCAAATGCAATTATCAAAATAAGTATCCTTTCTTATCAACCAAAAACAACTTCATTTAAAGAGAGTATAAAGTGGTAATCCAATCCACACAACACATTGCTTGTAAAAACTCATCAAGCCACTACAAAGACATCATCACCTAAGTTCAAAAAATAATAAAACAAGGATGATCGGGATGCCTAGCACCATATTTTCTGCTGACTTTCTAGATAAATAACAACAAATAGAAATTAATCTTTATAAGAACATCCTACTACCCATTTTCCTGAGCTCCTGAATATAGATGTAGCAATTAGGCAATAAACTGAAATGCCGTGAGTTGGGGACAAAGAATCTTATTCTTTCAAGTTCTTTACGTATTCATTACAGTATTCAGAGCTACTCAGATACTAGCCATGCTCCTCAAAGTACTCCATGAATTGCTTTAAGAATCATCTGTCACTTATTGTTTCGGAACACAGACAAGGCAACACTATCTTCTTGCTTGAGTCACAGTCACATTCATTCGTCTGCAGTCACTTGAAAACCCCACCTAAACATATTTAAAATGACACAATTTTATTTTCAATATAGAATCCACCAAAGAAAAAATTAGTTAGAATTGTAGCGTAGAGTACCTCTTTGGTAGAGTTTGATCAAACCAGTGAAATCATAGTGGCTTCCTTGTCTCGACCTTGGACACCCATCAACGGTTGAGATCTTTACATCCTTTTAGCCGGTCCTCATTGCTTCTCAACATCTTTAGTTAGACAACCTGAAATATATTTGGAATTTTAAAAAACAAAACATCATATATTGGTCATATTGCAAAACAAATGGGAGTAGAGGAAGGGTAAATATCTAGCTAGTATTTTGGTACTCGCTTTATTAAGCAAGTTACAAAGCATATAAACTAGACAATTAACTAGAGCACAGTTCAGTGTTTGGTACCTGGGCAGCATATAGGGTAATGTAATAGTTACAATGGACTCCACTTTAAGTCTAGTCTCTTTGTATGTGAAAAATCAATCTCAGCTTCACTTTCATTTAGTGTGTTGTCTTCATCTTTCTTTTAATCCATGTCATATCTGAAGTAGATCAATCATGTATCTTCCACAAATTTAAGAGCTTAAATCAGTAAGTCCTAATAAAATTTGATTACAGAATCAATGTCAAATCAGGAAGTAACATTCATGCTTGTTAAGAATCAAAGTTTAACTTGTTTAAGATTCACAAGCTCCACGATCTGAACTTTTGTACAAAACAGAAAAATCTCACTTAAACACATTAATAGAAGGGAATTATTGTCTAGCTCACGTTATAATGAAAGCCAATATGCTAACAGTACACAAAGAAAAGTATAACTATTGCACCAAAACCAGAAAAAATGTTAGAGCTCCAAACCATTTATTTGAGTCCTCACCTTGTGAGCAGGAAGAACATCTTTTTATGTTTTCCCCATTAGCCCTATCTACTTTGAAACCAAACTCAAAATAAATTATAAGATAGCTAAGAGATTCATTCCATTTTGGTAGCAAACAGAAAAATGGAAAACAGCTTTAGAAAGTAGAAACTAACAATTGCAATCATTAAGAGAATTTCCCATTGTTCAAGTTGTCTTAAAAAATGAGGGCTAACCCGTGCATTGAGTGGACTTTCCAAAACTAGATATAGCAAACGTGCAAGATAACCATTGTTGCATTGGGAAACATATCATTATGC